GTAAAGGTTTTAAGGATTCCGGCAGCCAGGATTTGGTTTACCCCCCCCCCCCCGCCCCCCCCGTCCGTTTGGAAAGGGACGGGTGGTCAATGGTCAAATGATTAAGGCAAGCAACAAAGGGGTACCCCCCTCGCCCCCCCCCCCCCGAACGCCACAGGAGCGAGACGTGAGGAAACTTTCGGGGCCGAGCCCCAGGGCGGAGATAGGCGTTTCCTTCGACACCAGCGCCGGCACGGTTGCGGCGTTGGAGAGCTTGCTCGATCTCGGTGGACGGACCTCTGACGGTGAGAACCAGCCAGCTGACCGTTTCAGGGGTACAGCTGCCTTCCTTCTGAGTCTTCGACCAGGGTACAGCAAAACGCGGGGCGAAGCCTGGTGGAAATACTTGCAGGCGTCGGCAATCTGCGGTCGACGAAATGGAATGTCTTCAGTGCCATCACATGTAGCCAGTGCCACACTGGACACTATCGCTCACAACCGCCAACTTCGACCTCCGCTTGAACATCGCTCTCCCCCCCTTGGCTCGATGCAGGCCGTCTTCTGATGTTACAGCCGTCAAACTCCTACTTCGCCTACAGGCCGATCCTGCAAGTCCTTAAGAGTCCGGTAAGGAGCGCTCGATAATGTCCTTCCCGTTTGTTGCAGCTTCGGAGAGGATCGAACGCGCTGAATATCACAAGAAAAACAACCACAACTAACAATATTGGAGTCACAGTCGGGCAATCGGTAGCGCGTCGACCAAGAAGGAGAACAAAGGAGCATCGGGGAGTGGGCCAGAGTTTGGCGTTCACGAGTCGCAGCACGTGTTTAGGGCGGGGGTAAAGAAACACCGAGGTGATGGTCCAACCCCGTCCGCTCTCGCATTATCCTCGATAGAACACTGCTGCTACAGATAGACCCACAGAGTTCGGTTTCGACTTGTGGTGTAGCCCTCGCGCGGCGGCAACACCGTTTCCATAAGATGCTCGCAGAAAGCACAAAAGTCACGCCCCGTACGTGTTTCCAATTCGAACTACGCACACACTTGGTGTTGTTGTGGCAACACGGTAGGCTTGTTTTCGTTTTCGGTTCAACCGGAGACTTGGCTCGTGAGTCCCGTGGATGACACAGTGTAGAAGGCCGCCAACGCATACCATACCGTTTCGCTTTCTACACGCACCCCTGTTGACGGCATTATTTCTACAAATACGTATGACGGGTTACGACATCGGAACAACATCAGGCGCGAGAGGTGCTTCCCTTCGCGGACACGCTGCTACCGCCCTCAGCCGCAGCCGCGGCTGGCGCCACAGCTCGAGAAGCTATCGAGCCAAAACCTCCGAGGTACCTTCTGCAAGGCAAGTGTACGTGGCGCTCATGCTGGCTTGACGTGACGTTCAACACCGCCCGAGACGGTTTGCTTTGAATCAAACAGCGAACCCATCTTATCTGGTCTGGTCGGTGTTTCGGGACAAGCCTACATCCTTGCATATTTCGCCAATCTTTCGCAGAATGAGATTCTCCTCTGCACGGGCGTACTACCATTTTCCTTCCCAGGGCGTGGACGTGACAAACAATTTCTCATCACATCGAGTTAAGATTGACACAGTCGCCGTGATGTCACCCGCCCACAACCAATCACCCCATTCTCCGCACCACAGATGGTGCATTGAGCATGAGTTGCCAACAAGGAGAAACTGCCTTGGGGTTGGAAGACCTCTCACCAAGCGAAGCCCTAACCCGACCCCCCACCCACACCCACCCCTCGGCCTTGTTTGCCATCGGGGTTTGGGTTTTCGTCGCTTGGTAACGACGTTGTAAAACAAGCCGCCCCCCCCGTTGTTTCCCATCGGGGTTGGGTTTTCGTCGCTTGGCAACGACGTTGTAAAACAAGCCACCCCCTCGGTGTTTGCCATCGGGATTGGGTTTTCGTCGCTTGGCAACGACGTTGTAAAACAAGCCAATTCACTTCGTGAACTTGGCAACCAGGTTACCGTTTTTTTTTACCTCTTTTTTTTTTTTGGCGGTAACCATAATGGTGGTCGAGTAGATCATGTTGTGCAGGGTGGAGAACCCTCACTCCGCGCAAGGGGGATGATCGCACCACGTTGTGTTAAAATGGTCAAGCATCCTCGAGGCAGTTACACAGTGCTTACAACTGTCTCTGGAAGTGAAAGCACCAGAAAATAATTTAAGCCATACGTAGCTGTCATCCGTACGCAAGGAAGTAAGCACAAGATGCCGAACACCCTTAGCAGGATGCAGCTCACCCTTCATGCGACTCGCCAAATACCTCACGGCGCTTCGCGCTTGGTGATGTGAGAGCCTGGTCCGGTGAGAACCCGGCGTGCTCCGTCCCGGCTTTGTAGGGATGCGAGGTCAATGGTCTAACGACTACGGCATGCACGACTATGAGTACCCCCCCCCCCCACCCACACCCACACCCCGTCACGTGCACAGTTGATGCATACGACTTGACGGATCTGATTAGCAGTCCAACGCGTGGGGGAAACGCCGAGGCATCCCTGGACGCCCTGAGGTCCGTCAGCATGCTCGATCGGGAACGGTTCCCCATGACCGAGCTGTTGGAACATACGACGCTTGACCAGGTATGGGACGAAACTCGCCTTCAGCGTCCGATTCATCGCCTTTTGTAGGCATCGACTGAACGGCTTCAACCCGGTGGCCTCAAACGCATTGATATTGGAACGTTGTCGGGCGCAATGGAACCCGAAATTTACCGTACCACAAGAACCGGATCACGGAATGGTGCGTTCCGTTTCCCTCTTTGGCCCACTGGGTTTCGAGCAATATGACGGATGGCGATTTATGAAGCCTTTGCTGGGTTGCAGGCAGTGATGCACACGCCTCTTCGTTGTGGCGAAATCAACGCAAGCGATCGTTGTTGTGGCTGCATCAACGGAGGAAGTGATCGCACCGGAAGCATGACATATTTTCCTGTGCCTGCCTGCCTTATCGTTCCGCGCAGGCTCAACTTGAGGCTCTTTGCGCGGCACTCTCCCACGAGGTGGCCCTCATCCAAGGACCCCCGGGGACCGGCAAGGTGCGACCGTGCGCTCGTCGCCCTCCCTCGCCGCCTTGCGCGTCGAGACCTACCCACCAGAGAATGGCGTTCTGCGAAGAGCTCATGAGGATCAACTTGTTCGTTCGTGTAGAACACTAACCGTATTCCTCATCTCCCGTCTTTCTCTTAACCTCCTCCTTTTCACTTTCGTCGCTTGCTCTTCCTACTGCCTCGCTTCTCTGCGTCTCTCCGAACCTTCCCCCTTGCTCCTGCTCGAAGACGTATGTCGGGGCGAAGGTTGTCCGGCTCCTGCTCACCAACAGACGCATGCTGGGTCACTGGACGGGCCCGATCATGTGCGTCTGCCTCACGAACCACGCCCTGGACCAGTTCCTGTGCGACCTCTTAGACGCCGGAGTCGACGGCATCGTTAGGTGATGATGCATCCCACCCGGTCGAGGAAACGATAAGAATGGCCACGTGTGTGGCAGGTGGGGTACGCTTGTTGATGCTCGTCCAGACGACGAGAATCGTGAAGGGTGGTTTTTATCGAGTGACCCGTTTTCGCGCATTCCGTGACGACGAGAGCGTGGTGGGTGGTTTTCGTCGAGTGACCCGTTTTCGTGCATTCTGTGCACAATCAGCCTTCTTTGTGTTGTCCCCTGGTCTTAACAAGTAGAATCAATAGTACTCGTGTTTTATTTCACTTTTTTCGCCATTTTTTAATGTGGCCGTTCTTGTGAGTGCTGTCGGGGTGTGTGTGTGTGGGGGGAGGGCTGTTGATACTGCACGAGTCGCTTGTCGTTGCGTTGGGTAGGGATTTCCCTGCTTGCGTCGGATCCCGGTATGCATTGCTAGTCCCCCGCGTCTCCTTCACCCCGATATCTGACCTTCGTGGGTGTCATCCACTCCTGTGCTAGACCAAACATCTGCGCGGGTCATCTATCTGTGAGTGAAAATGATTTCGTGCGTCCGATTATCTTACGAAATCCCCCCGTCCCGCCCTCCTACCGCTCCTCAAAATTTCCATACTTTTTCTGCAAGGGTTGGCGGTAGCTGCAAGACCGACAGGCTAAAGCCATTCATGCTGAGAGAGCTTTCGCAAGGCCGGAGAGGTATGAAGCCAAGGGTTGCTTCACCCAAGGCGTTTCATGCTTTGCCGTGCGAGAGCCGTTTGAAATCGCATGCTCTTCCCCTTCAATATTTTCGAAAGTGTTTCTAAGTGATGATAGCTGGCAATTCATTGCCACCGCTGTTCATGTTCGACCTCGGACACTTCGGAAGCTGCAGCTTCAAGACGATTGTTCCACTGCCTGCTTCAAACGCTTGTGGACTTCAAAGGTATTGAAATACGCAACATTGGAGAAAATAGAGCACCCTTGCAAACGTCTCATGATGCTGGCGCATTCATCATGTGGATGGCCCCGCCATATCGAGGCAGTATAGACGCGGTGAACTGCGTGGCAAATGGTTACATTGTCCCGGGAACTATTCGTTGACATATCATATCCCGTTTCGACCGAATACATATCCGGGAAAAAATAACATCTACTGCACTAGGCGCTCTCTTAGTTCTTTTCGTCCTTGGGTGCGGCGACCGCAACCCCGACGTACTCATTTTCTTTCGACAAACGCTCGAAGATTCTTGCGGCAAGGAGATGTACCGACTGCGGAACTTGATGAAGCAGCTGAGCGACGACATGCTCAACGAGTGGAAGGTGAGCGCCAAGCGACGATACCGCGGTACTGATTGAGTGGTGTTGCTCTCGTGACGGGTCCTTTCGTGAAGGATGATAACCCGCGAGCCGGTCGGGATATGCCGCGGTTTCCAGCGCTGTATACGTTGCGGTGTTATTACCACACCTTGCTCTTGACGTATCGCTCTTCTGCGGCTTTGGGTCCCCTTGCCTTACCTTTCGGTTTTGCAGTGGGCGGGCGAGGTCACGGCGATCACGGCCAACTTTCGCGATGCCAACAGGAGCAACACGGAAGCGTTGCACAGGCTTCTCGTAAACCACGCGCCTCTCGTCTTTGAGGAGGCCATCGTCAACGGCAGCAAGAACCCTGTGGTTGACGAGGATGGCTGGCAAACGGTGAGGTGCCTGCCTCGACTCGTTCCCTCAGATTTCGTCACGGAAGCATGGTGCGCCAAACTGAGAGAACTTTGCGTTGGTGAGCGCGAAGTACTCCCTGCCGAGCGCATGAGGATTTCCCATAGCTATTAGTACACACTTTTAGCCTCGCCATGATACCGCTAACAACCTCCAGGTAGGAAAGATGTCCAGCGGTATCAAGGACTGGCTGGCGGGTAAGACCAACCACGACGTCAGCGGTCGTACGCTGAGGAAGGCGAGCCTGCCCGACGCGCAGGGCGGCAAGGTCGTCGGGACCAAGGAAACGAAGAGGCGCGACCAGCAACGAGCGTTGGACCGTCGCCCTGCCGCCACGGCTCCTTGTCCTGATGCTCGACGTGGTGCTGGTGCTGCTTCGTCAGTCAGCTTACCGTCGGAACCACTCCCTAGCGCAGATGTTACCCGGGCCGGCGAAAGCACGCAGACCACGGAGGACCTCGACGACGACGACGTAGTCGCTGAAGGGAAGGAAAGCGCCGGCGCCGACTTCAGGGCTACCAACCAAGGCGAAGACCACATTGCCACCGGGATAGCGCGCTCGGTGGCCGCGGGGAACCCCTGGCTCGCCCTGGCCGATCTCAACTACGACAGCAGCGGTGGCAGTTCCGACTGTTCCTCAATGTCAGGTGGCGAATCGACGTTCGATTTGTTTGAGGTTGCAGCGGAGCCAAAGAACACTCTCTCGGGCGGCGGCGTGAGCGACGATGGCACCTCTTCGTGGTCGTTCGCCAACAGTGGTTTGGCTCCCATGGCGGACGGAGATGAGAGGGAGATGTTCGAAAGCGAAGAGACAGATTACGACGAGGCAGGCCACGTTGACGGTAAGTGATGAGTTAGTTGTTGGAGACCTGGCCGTAGCGATGGCTCGCCACGCAAACGATAGAGCTCCGGCAACGACCAAACCTGACAGTCCTTCCGCTCACTCACCCAAATCACAGTAGGCCTTCACCCGCCTTCCCGCCCGCCCTGGCACAACACCCAAACCTCGCTCGCATCAGGTGGACATCTAGAAGCGAAGGGTACTTCCCCGAGCAGTGAGACCCACGCCGACGGGGTCCATCCTCCCGCGGCCCTTCCACCCACACCCGCTACATCTGGAGCGCGGCATCAGCCCCAGAACCACCACCAGCAGCACGAGGAGCACGCCCGAAGGTTCGCGCCCGGGCGTGGTTGGTCTGGGCACGGGCGCGGGCATGGCACCGCCGTCCACGTCCGTTTCGCCGCGGGGCCGGACGATATCGGTGGTCCCGAGTTCGGCGCCGGCCGCGGCAAGCGTGACGACGTAGAGATGAAGGCAGGGGAAACGTCGCTCGGCAACAGCGAGGGGGGCGGCAGCAGTCTGGACGAGGACGACGACGGACATGGGGGCTCTACAAGCGATGGACAGGAGCGGGGTAGCGGTGACGAGGGAGAAGAAGAGGCGGATTATGTCGCGTCATCAATGAGCGAAGACGCCCAAAGCGAAAGCGATGACGGTAGGCCGGAATTGGGAGAGGTGGTTGTTGCTGTCTTGAGGTGGTTGGATAACCTGGAAACGGAAATGCAGAAGGAAATCTACGCCGCAGATCGTTTTTTGGGCACGGTTTAGAACACTGTCTTTCGAAACAAGGAACTGAAGTTTCGTTTCCCGTAAAGCTCGCGCCTCGACCATGCGCCACACGCCCACTCTCCTCTGTTGCGCCCAGACGAGGATTCCGAAGACGGCTCCAGCGAGCAAGGAGATCCAGCAGATGCCAGTCCCACCCCTCCAGCCGGTGCCGTGGATGGTCTGAATGCCTACAATATCATCGTGTCGGTAAGATTGGTTCTGGTGATGCTGAGCGGGGCATTCCCTCGTGGCCTTGGCGTATTCGAGGGGGCTGAAGGGAGAGGCACACTCTACTTGAATGATACATATCTCGTTGCCTGGAAATCGAGTTGCGTTCATGCCGCATCAATTACTAGCAAAAGAACACCAGGACATCAGGACATCACCAACCTTTAACATGGGGAGCCCAGTGCCAACAACGTGCGTGGGCGAGAGATCGGTGCTTTTGGCGAAGCCACGTACATGCGCACACGTCTCGATACCGCCGATCCGCACGTGGCGGGGTCAGTCATTCCTCGCACGTTGATCCATTCGTTGTTTCAGGCGGTCCTAAACGGACGGAGCGTGTGGGCGCTTTCTCCCGAGGAGCGACGGACGCTCTGCCATCATTGGCAACAGACCGAGGCAGCGGCTTCGAGGGAGCGCCTTGCTGGAATGATTGAAGAGTGAGAACACTTGTGTGTGGGCGGCGTTTGTGTGTGTCAGTTCGGTGCGTTCGTCTCAGCGATATGTACACGCGCTGGTGGCGCCACTTTTCATGGGGTGGTGAAAGTCCGATCCCGCTGCACGCCTCAAAGCGGAGCCATTCCACTTTGTTCACAGCTACTGTAGGGCCGTCTGTTGGCGTTGTTGTCAAGGCCTACCAATATGCTGACGCCTCCAGACATTCCCTCCTCCCTCCCATGTTCAGTTTCTTCTCCCTCTGGGAGAGGCATGACAACCACAAGACCCAGGGAGAGCTGGCCGTGCTGCAGGAGGCCAACGTCGTGGGCATGACCACCACCGGGGTCGCCATGCACCAGAGCCTGGTCGAGGCGCTAGGAGCTACCGTTGTTGTCGTCGAGGAGGCCGCAGAGGTATATGCTTCGACGATGCTGCGGCAAACTTGATCGAGCGGGAGAAAATCGTACCAAAAGTCATTCCCTTGATTGACGGTGTGGTTCCAACACGTTTCGGTCATCCCATGCTACAAAGTACCAGGAACAATATTGTTGTGGTAGGGTTTTGACAGGCGCTTGTTTGTTTTGTCACTTTCGTTGCGATCACTGCGTTGTCCATTCTTCCTCTTCGATGGACCGCGTCGACAGGTAATGGAGGCGCACATCCTTGCCGTGCTGACGCAGTCGACCCAGCACCTCATCCTCATAGGTGGGCCTGGTGGTAGTCTCGTTGATAGTTTAGCAGAGAGCGGCGACCGTGAATAACAATATAAGGTTCCGATGATTGCGGCGCACATCCAGATTGTGAAATCAACACTACCCACATGAATCTTGGGGTATAATGTACCCATATCCCTCCAACGTAGATGCACAGATGCATCACGTATTCACCCATCCCCTGTCCATGAATACTCATCATCCCAGAAATCATTCGAGACGTAACTGGCCACGTCTTGTATTCGTGATGAATATGTTGGTATCATATCGCGCCGTCATGACTGTAGTGGCAAGGAATGAACATTTTCGTGTGTAAAAAAAATCACCCTTCAGGGTCAAATCAGGGTCAAGGTCAAGGCCATGCCGCTGACATCTCGTATCCTCTCGGGTGAAGCTATTGGAGAGATGACCGTTTAATGCCGTTTGGGCGCTCGAATGGTTGCATCCGTCGGTTTGTTCAGGCGACCATTTGCAGCTGCGGCCAAAAGCAGAGGTGTACCGCCTGACCAAGGAATCAAGGAAGGGCTTCGATCTCGACGTGTCCATGTTTGAGAGGGTAAGGACGCTACTGTAGACAATGTTGTTGAGAACATGGGCGACGCACGGGCACTTTTCCTCTTTCATGGCGGCGCAGGCCCGGAGTGTCGGACTGATGACGGTGGATATTGATGTGGTCCGATGACGTTCCGCAACGTCATAGACTATGTGGTGGGGTAAACGTCAGTCATGGTGCTCCCGTGGTATGGTCGACACAATGCATGTGGTACTCTGGGAAATTCTGAAGTATTCTGCAGTGTGCCTCGTTCCACCAACCCCGACCCCACTTCGGGGTTTCCCTGTGCATCTTTTGCTTCTCTTTGCTTTTCGTGACCAGTTGGTGGAAGAGCGCCGAGTTCCCGTCCACGATCTAGCGACGCAGCGGCGCATGCGACCGGAGATCGCCGACCTTATTCGACCTGCCGTGTACCCGAATCTCAAGGACGCACGCCAGGTGCAGAAATATCCTCCGGTGAAGGGAATGCGGCGCAACCTTTTCTTCTGGGACCACGCGGTACCCGAAGACAAGTCTGGCACTGTCGCCAGCTCCAAGACGAACAGGTACAGAAGATGCACTCGCACAAGTGGCACGCATATGTTTGCCACATTCTTTCCCGACTCATTATTCGAGGATTTTCATTCTACGCGTGATATAGGGCCATCAGCATCTGCTACAATAGGGTGTCCCGTTCCAAGGATGATACGCATCTTCGTTCCTTCAGTGGTTTGAGTGAAACGGGCGTTCTTTGTGTGTCAAGCCAGGCAGCCTTTCTTGGTTTTCCCTTCGTAAGATGTGTCGGAAATCACTCCACCGCGTTCGGTGAATATTTGTTCGGATAGTTGTGAACACGGTGTCACTCTCGCAGTCCCTCTCCGGTGATCTTGCCAATGAATTCGTGGGGATCGCAACTCGCAGGCACGAGGCCAAGCTTGTGTCAGGACTGGTGCAGTACCTTCTCAAGCAAGGCTACACAGATCATGGGGACATCACTGTTCTCACTCCGTACCTCGGGCAGCTCTTTGTGCTCAGGGACGTGGTTGGGAACTCCAGCGTCCTGCACGTTCAGGTAATTATACGAATGTCCGCTCATTGTGACGCAATTACTGTACATCCCTTTACGCTTAATCAACTTTAGCGAGATTGAAGATAAAGGTGTCGCCAAAGGTGGGGGCATGGTCATATGACGAGACTGTGGAAGGCACCATCGAAATGTTCACTGCATTCGTGCGTAGCACGAGGATATCGAAGAATCGGACAAGGATGGTGGAGAGGAAAGCAGTGCAGGGACTGTTGCTGTAAGTGTGTTTCCTCTGGTTCCTGTGGGGATGGACGGCGAAGGGTTTGGTGCAGGACGGAGAACAAGAAGCTCACGCTAACAGACTCGCTTCCGACTTTAAATCTCTTTTGGCGACGTGGTTCAGGCCGATTGGCATCAATCGGTTTCACATGACATACCGTCTACAGATCATCCCCATTTCGTCGTGTAAATACGAATATGGCATATTATTGGTGCTTTCCTGCAGGTAAACGAGCGAGACAGTGCCAAGCTGGACGACATGACTGAGGCTGACAGCAAAGGGAAGGATGGTCAGCCAAACACCCGAGGGTTCGATGATACTTCTGATGTCGACGGCGGCACCAATGCCCTGCCGTTTGTAGAGGTTGCAAACAAGAGGGTGGGCAGCATGGTCCGTATGGCAACCGTTGACAAGTGAGTCGTCTTCCGTCTCCAAACTGTACCATGAACCAACTTCGAGATGGATGCGATGACAGAGCTTCTCCTACGTTATGGCCTCTCGTGTACCCCCCGAAACATACTTGCCACTTCTCTGTCCCGCGTCCTGTTCTTGCAATACTACAATAGCTTCCAGGGGGAAGAGAGCAAGATTATCATCATGAGCCTGGTCCGGTCCAACCGCAACGCTGACATCGGCTTCTTGCGATCCTCTAACAGGTACGCTGACATGATTGGCCTTGGTTGGTTGTGGAATCGTCTTCTCGGGTGGAACGAGGAAAAGGAACATATCCTTAGCGATCTCGCCCCTACGACGATGAGACAGACTGAGAATGAATTGCATTGCCGGCCGAATGTACTGCTGACGATGATGATCAGGCGAATGCGCGAACTTGATCGTCAGTGAAAGAATGAAACGTTGCTATTTGGTGAATACTGGCACCATGGCCTTAGCCAATGTTTCAATTGTGTTTGATTGTGACGCTCTAACTTCTGGTGTCGCCTTCCCTGTTTGTTCCCGTCATGCTGTTTATGCCACAGGGTCAACGTTGCGTTGTCTCGAGCGCAGCATGGCATGTACATCATCGGGAACGCAGGTGAGAGCCAGGAGAGTGCGCGGCGCACGAAAAAATTTGTTATCCTACCATTCAGCACACCGTAGACATGGCGTGCATCATGCACCGCGTCGGCACTGGATCTTGTTCGAAGATATGTTGGGCCTAATGATTGAGGCATGAGGAGGAAATAGACGTGACGTTTTTGAACCATTGACTATCGATACAGTGCTCACATATGAAGCCGCCGCGTTGTTGAGGGTTGGTAAACAAACGCTATTGAAGACGACGAGCGATATTTTCAGGTGGCTGTTATGGCCCTTCTCTCCCCATCCTGACTGCAGGCATGCTCGAGTCGAAACGCGGGACCATGTGGTCGGAGTCGGTCATTCCTATCCTACGGGAGAAGGGCGCCATCGGCACCACGCTCGAGCTGCAGTGCGCCCGTCACAAGGTGCACACCGATAAGGAGTGTAGAGGAGAAAAATATTCCAGAACCGGTTTCAATAATCGTTCAAACAAACGGTGTATCAACATATTTCGGAACCCGTCAGCACCATACGCATAGAAAATGTGACTGAATCCGGGGTTTCGAACTCGTTTTTGGTGTCTGGGCAGGACTCCATCACGGTCATCCACAAGTATGAAGAGTTCGCCTCCCTCGCGGGGGATGGAGGCTGCAGCCGGGCATGCTCCTCTCGTTTGCCGTGCGGGCACGCATGCTTGAGAAGGTGGGCACATGCACTGATACTATGCAGCACCGACAACTTTCCTATAGAGGTGTCATACACTCGTTTTCGACGGCTTCATACAATATAGTCTAGAGTCTTATCGGACAATCAGCGTCTAGGAGGACGCGAGCTGTTGGCATTTCCCTAAGATGCCACGTATTGGTGGTCAAAAGCTTCCATTGCCAGACAGTACATGAAGCCAGCTTGAACAGTTAATTCTCGGAGTGAATTATTTCGCGAGTGTCCAGGTCGCCTCTGATCACTCGTGTTGGTTTTTTCATTTTTCTATTCAACACACAGGGACATACATACCCCGGATCGGTGCTCTTCACCCGTCAAAGACAGGACCGACAAGGCTAGATTGTTGCCAGCGAGGGCAACGAAGGGAATGGTAATTATTCATGTTGTGTAGATAATACCGTGAATTGCAGTAGGACCGAGACCCTGAAATTTTCGTGTGTTGCTCAAACCACCAACCGCAGGTGTCATCCGGATGACCCCCATCACCTCGGCGTGCGTTGCAGCGAGCCGTGCCCCCGCCTCCTGCAGCCGTGCGAGCACCCTTGCCAGCGGTACGACCAAGCAGAGTACCAACCGATGAGGTCGTCACACATCTACGCTCGCCACTCACCACAAGCTACAACATGTTACCGTGGTCGATCGGCTCCAAGTACATGGAGCATGTTGAAGTAACGCAACAAGGGAGCAGATGACCCTCAATGAGTTTATTCGTTGCGCGTTGGGCTCACACATGTTTTCACCAAGGGAAGGGATGCATTACTTTCAGCGTTGGAGGGTGCGTCACTTCCCCACCCCGCTCCCTCCCCCGCCTTCAGGACAACACCATTGGTACTTAAAATCCGCTGTGTTCAAGCTACCCACTTGAGGTCTATGTATATCTGTATCCACAGAAAACAAGTCTCGAATGCTCTTATTGTGCCACGTGAGCCAGGCTGTGCGGGGACGAGTGCGGCCCTTGCTACCAGAGGGTGGATGTGGTCGGTCTACCCTGCGGCCATGAAGCGAAGAACGTGTCCTGCGCGACATCAAGGCTTCCAAAGTCCATCCGGTGAGATGAATTTCTTCGATTTTTTGGGTCGCGCTCAGGAGTCAAGCTTTCGAGACGTGAAACCGACGATGTACAGTATTTCCAAGTAGAGGTTATGGTGAAGCAGACCAAGAACGGATCAAACATCCATATCCCGTTGTTACACGTCTGCCGGTGGTTCAAGTTTTTTTGCCCGTATTATCAGCTACAGGCAACAAAGGCTACGCGGGGAATCAATATACTGTAGACCGCAGATACCTGAAGTCACGTCCGACGCAGATGCTGTGCCCGCCCACTCTGGTTGTCTGGGTTCGTTCCATCGACAGGTGCGGCGAACCGGTGGAGCTCAAGGTCCCCGGCTGTGGGCATGAGATCAAAGGTCGATGCACGGCCACCAGGGATATCGTCCGAAACCCCGCAATGTGCAGTGAAACGTGAGTGCATGACAAACCATGCGCGGGACCCGGACGGGGGTCCATATCACAGAACAGGTTACGGACCAAGAAGGGTAGGCGCGGGCACCAGAGATACTGTGTTCAGCCGGTGCGTGCTTCTTCAGTATGGCAGCTTCGTTTTTTAGGTACTAGGTATCAACACATTGACCACAAGACACATGCCCAATGACCTGCCGCTTCAATAAAAAAAGACCCACACCTTACCATTCTTCGGCTGAAAACATAAAAACAGTTGCGGGAAGCCCCTGCCGTGCGGCCACTCTTGCGCGGCGACATGTGGCAGCTGCACTCAGCTCACCCTATCCAGGGCAACGACGGCGGTGGAGACGACCCCCCTCCAGCAACAGCTAGAAGCACCAACTGCAACTGCAGCGGGTGGCGTGTGGGCGGCAGCTGCAGGGGACGGGCAGGCAAAGGACGACGACAGGTCGTTGGCGCTGGCAGCAGCGACGGCGGCGGCGGCGGAGCAGAGGACTCACCACGTCAAATGCACGACCGTAAGTTTGTGCGGATGCGTTCCTCCGAATTAGGTATTCAGGGCAAGCCGTACCTCGTGCTTGGAAGTCGAAACATAGTGAGATTCCTGCGTTGTATGCATAGGTTTACTGACTTGTTTTAGCTCTCCCGCTGTCCGTTGTTCCGTCACAGGAGTGCGGCCGTCATCGGGCGTGCGGGCACCGTTGCCGGCTTCCCTGCCACGAAGGAGAGCCGTGCCCCCCCTGCCCGGAGCCGTGCACCCTTTCGTGCGAGCACTCTTCTTGCGCCCAGGCTTGCATAGGTGTGTGTTGCCTGGCCAGTCTTCGGCATGGTGTATCAATCAGGTTGATGTCAAACTATCGTTCCGTACTTTGTCATACCCCGAGGATTTAGAAAGAACGCAAATCTCGTGCTCGTAAGGGGTTCATTAACCGAGTTTTTTCGAGTTCTCAACTGACACCACAACGTTCAACCACCTACTCCCGTGAGTGGGAGTTTCGGAATCGGCACTTCATTGTTCCCACCCCAGCGCTGTCATAACGTCTTTCGCTCCTTGTGCCCCTTCTACCCTACCCTATTCTGCCGTCGCCAGACCCGTGCACCCTTTGCGCCCAGAGCTGCACGTGGCACTGCCCTCACCAGGCGGGGTCGTGTCGTCTCCCCTGCGGCGCTCCGTGTCTACGTCTGCCTTGCGACATGTGGGTGGTTCGAGGCGCTGGCTTCTATGGATTTCGAAACCCTAATTTTCAACGTCAAGGATAAGCTATTATACACTGTTTAGCGTAAGACCACAACCTCGTAGGGAGTCCGCGATCTCTTTTCGCTGCTGTCTTTTTTCATGTCTTCGAAGCAGTTGTGTAGCCGCTCTGGCTGACACACATGACGAGGTGACACTCCGAGGACGTTTCGGGCCACCCAAACGACTCCGTTCAGTTGTAGACAGACCTCCACCGTTGGCCATCCAATTTTTCCATTCACCTGTCTGAACGGGAAACACCTCCTCCTTCGCCGTGTCAAAACCCCGCCACCCCACGACGTTACAACTACGTCACTGCAGCCGATGCGAGCGGAAGCTTGGGTGCGGTCACCAATGTCCCTCGGTGTGCGGCGAGGACTGCCCCGGGTCGGAATTCTGCAGGGAGTGCTGCAGCGTGGACACGCCCGCCATGACGCAAGTGGTGGACATGTTGGAGTTCACCACGTGAGAGTATAATGTGTGCCACAGAGCCCTACATAGCCTTTCGTTTCGGAAGGTACCGACTTCGCATCTGATGAAGAGTACCCACCGAGATCTGGATGTTCCTTCTCGTATCCCTCATGCAAACGCGTGCTGCAGGGACATCACACAACTCTTGTGCCGTAGCCGAAACGTGCATTCCCCGCCAGAATTTGTTGACTTCTCTTGCGTCATTCGACTAGAAGGCTCTAGGTCTTTGGCCTGCAATGGGCGCCGCCGCACTTGCCTGCTCCTTACTTCTCCGTGCTTTTGTGTGGTTAACTCCATTTGCGCCCCCGAAAGGCTCAAGGACCACGATCCGTCTATCGATCCAATCATCGTGCTGGGCTGCGGCCACGCCTACACGCTCACCACCCTGGACGGCCTCCTGGGCCTCGAGTCAGCTTACGCGAAGGTAAGTGTGTCGACACGAAACGACGGTACATGTGTGAGTGTAATTTCCCGGTCGATCGCACCCCTCGCCTTGCTTTGCCTGCCCGTGGTGAACGTCTACCAAACGCTTTCCGCCCGGTCAAAACCAATTTCCTTACCATGGTGTTGCACGTCGTTGGCAGGACGAGAAGAGCGGGAAGTGGGTCGCTCCGCTGCCGCTCGAATCCGACTGCAGCAAGCTCAAGCTTTGCCCGGACTGCCGTGCCCCGGTGTCCGGCGTGTCTCGGTACAACCGCGTCACCAACAAAGCCAAGGCAAGACGATGGTGTCGGTCGTTATGATACACAATGCTCCTTGGGCCCTTGTTGATCGTTGCGTGGTGTTTGCTGAGGACAATAACATACCAAGTGCGTCGACACGGACGGCGCACACACACGTCGGTAGTCTGGGTGCTTGTGAAGAGAAGCCTCTATGCTCCCAAGAAAAACAATTGTTGATCGTAGGATACACAAGGTAACCGAAAATCCTCTGATCGGGTGAGCCAGGTGATGAGGACCGCTACGAGAACGGTCCTCACGTGGGGGATTTCTCACGTCTGAGATGAAACAGTAGATGTACTATTGGTTCTATACCTATGCGCATGAAATGTTTCCTCCTTAGGGTTCTTACCTCCAGGGTAACACACTCGATACGATCGCTGCTTGGCCGCCCGGTGAGGACCCCCAACGCAAAGCCTTGCGGGAGAATTTAAGCTCGCAAAATATTAGTGTTGGACGAAGTATTGAGGTTGCGGGGTATCGTTGCCACGAAAGTGGGAGGGGGCGGCTCAAACAAACAAACAAAAAAACCCAGGTAGATGGGTTGTTGGCTGCTCCTTCGCGGGGCGGGCAATATGATAATGAGTGCTACCGAGAAGAGATGCCAGGAAAAAGAACACGAGGAATATTGCCCCAACATCCGGGAAATATGCCGAAGCCTCAATTTATTGGTTGTCTACCCTTCGCATGGCCGTCTCGATAATTCCCAGATGGACATGGCGGAGGTGAAACACTCTGAGTGGTGCAGAAAGGAAATTGCGCTTGCTCACAAAGATCTGGTGGTGGCTGCAGCTGACGGAACGCAGCCCAAGCTCCGCCACAATCGGTAGGGCAACACCCAGACACATGGCGTTGACCTCTTGTGCGCGTCTCGCAGCTTCTTTGTGATCTTCTGCACTGTTGATGCCACGCTGCCCCATCTGTTTTTCATTACTGTCTCCGGGTGACAACGTCATACGACCCCTAGCTGCGGCTACCTCTTGGCCATGTCCCCGCAACTGACGTTGATGTATCGCCCGAAAAAACCTCCGCGGTTATCACCATTCTGCAGGACATACCAATGCAAGTTTAGTGCTTGCAAGTTAGCAGCACGGCATCGTCTTTCACAGCATTTCGAATTATTCCCACCAAGCTGTCGGCACGACCCGCTTCTTCTCATTGCTCCACATCGAACCGTTTTCCCTCCCTTTTAGCATGAGGCAGGCGGAAGGGACGCTCAAGAGGGTAATCCAAGCATCACGAGAGACCCCGTGCACGCGGGTGAGGTTTAATGCTCTCGAGCACCGTTTGGGCAATGGTGTTACTTCGTCGCCTATTGTGTCCGCCAAGTATTCTATTCTGTTCGGAACCTTCAGTAGATCATTCACCGTACCTTGGCCTATTGAAGCCTGGTTGGTATAGAATATAGCAGAAGCCCTGCATTCGCGCTATGCGCGAATGACAGCTTGAATGCTGGAGCACAAGGAGCGGATCATGCCAAAATTGCGAGAAAAATACCAGTTCTGCAGCAGCCCGAAATACTGTGATCGCCGGGCTATATTGAATCGCTGGACCGCAAATCGCACTCACTCGCACGATGGAGTTTGCGACAGCGACAAACCCTATTTGTAGTCGGGATGTTTCTTCGATTTTCCGACCGTCGATGGCTCGGCTTCTACTTCGTGGTTTCCTTCCCACGCACCATCGACGCAGGTTTTCGAAGCTGCCACTGCCACTCTCATGCGTGCCGGAGCTTCGGCCCACGAGCTGGCCACCGTATCTCGCCTTCAACCCGACCATAGTGTCCGCGTCAAGGCAATGACTGAGATTGGTCGACTCCGGACGCTACAGCTGGAGGCATGCCGACTGCAGCTGGCAAAGGTGGGTGCTTTGGCGGCGAGTCTCTGCGTGCCAGCAAAAAAATACCAATCGATTTAGTGCGTGAGTCATTCCCAGCGGTAGTGCCAAATAAAGCACTACGGGCAACACTGGTACAGGGTGTCCACAGCTTGGGTGATTGCCTCTTTGTCATTCCAGTTTTCAAAGGTGCGATTCACATTTTCTGTGTTGAGTCTGCCGCAAAATGCTTCATATTCTTCCCGCGACTTGCTGATGCTGTGAGCCCTCTTTCGCCCCGCTTCGCCTCACCCCACCGCTTACAACACCACACCACGCCCTACAACAACAGGCGGTACGCTCCTTGCACCACACATCGACATCGTTGATACAAGCCATGCAGAGGATGCCACCCGCGGCGAACACACAGCAGTCTCAACACGCCCGCCGGGCTCAAGCGATCAACCGCGCTAAGACCCTTGAAGCAACCACTACCCAAAAGTACGGGCAGGGTGTAAGCACCCTCCTGGATGCGGTTCAAGAAGCCGTGGCCGCGCGGGCAATGGCCACGGGCGCGGCGGCAAGGGTGAGCAGGGGGGGAAAACATTTCCAGTGTTCTCGGTGGGCTACCGTAGGAGAAAAATGATGGGGATGCGCTTGAAAAACTGTACGACGTGCGTTTTTTCTCATTTCGCCTTTTGGCAAAGTTCGCCCCCCCGTTGATTGGCAAGACTCCCCTTGCCCGGAAAACGTCAGGATCGACTATTGTTTTTGCCCCCTTTCGTTGCTGTCTCCGGGCATGTCTCTACACCAGATGGCATTGGTCGATCTCTACCTTCAGGGGGCTCAGTGCGTGATTGTAAGCCAGGATCTCTGCTTGGAGGTCGGGGTTGACACAGGCCCGCTCACCAACATCGGGAGGCATATGGTAAGGCTTCGGCAATATACTATTAATACGAATGTTGATCCCGAGCACTGCTGGCCAAGGTTCATTGGGTTTGTTCTCCTATTCGCACCGTACTCCAGTAGTTTAGACGAACCTTGCGATTGGCGGAATTCCGACGTTTGTCCGAATTGCCGTTGATTGGCTTCGACCGTCAAAGCCGATCCGAAAAAACCGACATAGTTCTCCCAACGTTTCAATGGATGCCGCAGGTCCAAAAAGGGCTCAATGAATGCAGGACCGTAGCGAGCATCTCCTTGGGCAGCGTGCGGCAACAGCACGAAGAACACGTGGAGACGAGCATGAAGCACCTCCTGCGCCTCGACGAAGTAATGAGAGGAATTTCCCAAAAGGTGAGATATTTCACGTTGTATACATCCCCAAAGCAGGTGAATTGGCTACATGGGAAACGGATAGAATTATCTTTCCCCGGGCGGCGCTAAAGTGAATCCCTGCCATTTCTTATCTGGTCACCGCTATTATCCGCAGGAGGTGGAAATCGTGATGGCCGTGGCTGCGGACCCTGGCCTCTCCGGCGGGGTGACGAAGTACCACAAATGCCCGAACGGTCACGTGTACGGTGTGGGAGACTGTGGTATGCTGAACGGGCGCGGGGTTTGCCCGGAGTGCGGACTTGCCATCGGCGGCCCAGGCTATCATTGATGATTGGAGCGAATAGCCCGAATGTGGTGATGTTTCCCGAGGCCCTCTCTCCTCCCCGCCTCCACCTTCAACACGCTGAGAACGGGTTGTCGTTCACCCCGAATACTGCCTCACACTTGCAGGTAGGGTCTCTTGTCATTACGCGTCAGGGGGCTGGTGGTGCGTATATAGTAGACGGCCATCTCAAGAAACAACTCTCATCGCGACGCAAAGTTATACCGCTTGTTGCTTCTTTTTTGGTCGATCGCAACAGCACGGGCGTTTTCGGGGCGGTGTCGCGATGACTCTTCGTTTGTCAATGCATAGAAAGAAAGTAGCACCTGGGGCATGAAGCTAGCTACCGAAGTGGTGGGACAGGGGAACGGAATGCGGCAGAGTGAAGTAATCGTTGATAGTACCTCTGGCAACTGCCAATGGTACTCATTCAGGCGCGACACATCTTGGCTCACTGGAACTTCCCGTGCTCCCCGCGGCCAGATAAGACTTTCTGAGAGGGGGGAGGAGGGTAAGGGTCAGCTGGAAAGGTTGGGGACAAATTCTTGGTGTAGGTACTGCGATAAGCAATCGTCTTCTTAGACGCGTGTTTTTGGTCCATGGCTATGGAACGTGAAATGGGCAAGGGGCTTGAAGGAAGCGACTTGTTCCCGTGGCAGCCTCGGCGTCAGCTCGCCGTGGGGGGGGGGGGGGAGGGGGGGGTAAGAAAGGGCCCGTTTGGAGAATCATGGGAGTGGGCGCAGTATGCATACTTTGGTGATTGGATGTCGCTGGGTGCAACCGCAACACGTGCTTGCGCACGGGCACGACGTGCCGGTGCGCAAAGACGTCTTACAGTTCCCGGCGCTATGCTCGCCATGGGGAAATAGAAACTGCTGTAGATTCTATTGTGGGGAGACCATTTGTACGTTGCAACTACATGGGGGTATCTCACGCAGGGTGGATAAAGTTGCATACCACGGCAGGGCGGGACGTCGAGGAGGGAGCCCTTAATCGGAGCACAAATGGCAAGAATATGGCGTTTGAGCAGCATGTGTCTTCTCTCACGAGTAGCCTTGAAACGTACTCACACCCACGCGCCATGTGGAAGCGAGCAATCATCACCCCTCGCGCTTCTCAATGCCATGGGCGCCCGTGAAAGGCGAGTAGCAAATCTGTGTTGTTGGGTATTTCTTTGGGGGGGGTGGGTGGGTGGAATTCTTCTGTGCACTCTATATTTATTGCGACAGAGTCTATGGTTCCAAAACAAAGTGACGCCTCCTCTCGTTGCAAGATGGGCCAGGCACTTCCTCCCTGCTTCAAGTCCATCACAGATAGATGCTGTGCTATCTCGAGGCACCGATCGTCTCTTCACTCTCTTCCTTTGATATTTTGGCGCGCGCGCTGTCTTTCTCTCTCTGTTTGTAAGTCCTTTTCTCCCTCTGCTCTCTTGTTGTTCTTCTCTTTTTCTGTTTCTTCCCTCTATCTATCTACTATCTATGCGTACCTCGCATGGCATGTTGGTCCTTTCGCCGACGACGCTAAGTGTAAAGGTATGCACGCGTGTGGTGGAATCTGGAAGACCCGCGGAGAAGGACTCTTTGTTGCCCTGGGTAAGGTAGAGGACTGACAACAGTGAGTGGGGGACACGATCCGCTGCTTGCTCAAGGGGCTACTACAGTAGATAGATCCTGTTCCCTGTTTTATCCTTGCGCGGCGTGGAGACTTACTACATCTCCCCGCACCTTCCTTTGAAGGAATGATTCTCTTCTATAATAGTTCACCTACACATACATATACATCTAAATCCTATAATAAGAGTGAAGAGGTGAGCGGAGGGTTCTAGGCCGGTTATCTATCGTTGATTTCCCAACAGATTGTATGCACCGAGAGGGACGGTTACGTTAGGGGTCCATGCACCTACACCCTCCACAGGCCGAAAAACCCCACGCACGAAAAAAAGGACGAAAAATTGCGCCTCGAACCCGATTTTTCTCCACTGACTGCAGCAGCAGCGCCACTTCAACCGGCCAGCAGTTGATTTACAGTCAAATCAATTCTGTCTGGTACTTGCTTCACATAAGTTTCGCTGCCGTGGCAGGGGCATGAAACCTGACTGCAGCAGCAGCGCCACTTCAACCGGCCAGCAGTTGATTTACAGTCAAAGCAATTCTGTCTGGTACTTGCTTCACATAAGTTTCGCTGCCGTGGCAGGGGCATGAAACCGGCTTAAACTCTATCTCTAACCCTAACTCTTACCCCAACCCACCCGATAGGTGCTACAACTGTGTGCGGTAGGTTGGCCCTGGGTGGCTAAGTTCCTACATTGGTTGGTGTGCCGGCATTGGCGCTAGGTAGGTGCTACAGGTTGATTCCTGACGTGGGTAGGTGCTAGGTTGGTGGTGCTTGGAGTAGGCCTACAGTAGGTCGCTCTTGGGAGGTAAACGGTGCTTGCAGGTCGTACGTTTGACATCGGGAGTACATGACGAGGCTCTTCTTGCCCGGGTGGATCCTACACAATCGACAACTTGCGGAACCCTGGATAGATGGGTCTACGGACTTGTGGTGTACCCTTCTCTGGCCGTGTGATCAGATAGAAACCGTGTGTAGCGCTTTTCTCCAAGGCTGCACAAGAGGGCTACACGTAGAACGACCACCCCGGGCTTGTGTCGAACACCACGCGCATGTTTGGCTTTGCTCCCGTGCTGATTTGTTCTTTAGGCATCACCACCACGGAACAAGAGGGGCGCGTGAAGATTCGGCGTAATGGCACCAAGGTGTTCACTAGAACAAACAGGGTGATGAGATATAGGTGCCCCGGGCACAGCTTGCATGTTTGAAATTCAGCAATAAAGCAGTCGGTGTGCGAACAGTAGAAAGGTGGACATCAATTCGGACGAGCGTACCGCACCATTGATGACGCAGGGCGCACAGTAATAACATTTGTTGGACCCGCACTATATCCCTCAGCCGACCCAAATATTTGCTCATTTCCAGTGTATTTTTCGTCTTAGCACAAAACAGTTGTTTCGCCATTTCGACGTCGGTCGATTGTACTTGCAGCATGTTACGCATAGTCCAAAAGTTGATAGAAGGAGGGGCGTTTACTTGAGCTTGGAGGCTTGTTCTCGGGCCAAGAAATGTTTCAAATGCTCGATTGTGCTTTTGGGTAGGTACGAGGTGTAGCTCGCCAAGACTATAGACCTAATCGATTCTCACGTTGTTTATTATGCTTGGACTTCGCGCGAACAATCTTTCTGTGCTCATTACCTTTAACAACTAACATCCGTACGATCCAACCGGTTCGGGCAACTCACACGGTCCCAAGGAACGGCGGAGAGACACAAGAGACACACACATTTAATAAATTTATTCCAGAAACATCGTTAGCTTTGATGCGCGCTGAGTTCGTCGCACGACGTCGATAACACAAGCACCAAAGGGTCGCGCTATGCGTGTATACTTTCTATCAAGCCCTTGGTGATCTTGATCCGTTCCGAAAAGGCCGCAAAAGAGGAGATAGACAGTCGCACACACAATACAACAAACAGACGCCTACAATGGATTTTTGTTTGCTTCGCTGGCAAGGTCTAATGAAGCCGAAATCAAACCATTAGACTAGTCAGCTATAGTCTAATGATTTCGGCTTCTACAAAAGTTAGTCGTGGGGTGCGTGAGCCCCGTCATTTTCACTTCCGAGGAGGGTGATTCCTCTTGCCAGCGCTACCATCCGTCCAATCTTTATTTCGCTTCATATCACTCGCCAGCCACATCCTGCAGAATGTTCCAGGGTCCACGAGTCCTTCCGTCACCCATACTCTGGCCGATAGTATCCAGGGTCTCAGGAAAATAACCACTTCAAATTGTCCAGTCTCGGTCTCCAACCCAAGACTAACTCGCATACAAACAACGATCCTGGTCTCACACTCCATTTCTTATCCATTTGGAGTTGGGGGGGTGTAATTCACCGTTCTATGGAATTTAGGTCAATAACACCGTATGCAAAATGGTTGTATTTCACAAGAAATCTCTAGTAGTATGCCTGACCTGCAGTAAAACCCCACGTCGAAGCATAGACTAGACTATTCTCTATTTTCGGTATTGTATAGGTTTTAGACTGCACATCAAGCCTACCACGATACACTACTTCTTCTGCCCCACCCCAACACAATGCATTCACTACGCAGAAGCGAACTCCCGCAGGGCAACCCTCCTCAAGACGCCGGGAGAGGGGAATATAGACTATACTTTGAAGTACAGTATAGGGTTTAGCGCCTGTCAAAGCCAAAACACTTCACTGATGCAAACGAGGTTGTTAGCAACCACCCCGAGCGCATGTTGTTCTTTGCGCTCGCGCTCATTGTGCCTGCCTGTAGGTGACACAACCACGGAGTACGAGGAGTGGGCGGAGCTTCGGCGGAATGGCACCAAGGTGTACAAAAGAACAAACAGGGAGATCACAGGTATGTTCCCAGCAGGCATGTTTGAATTTCCGCAACGCAGTCGGTGTGCGAATTGTGGGAGGTGTGCATCGACTCGAGCAGACCTGCCACAATTTACTTCGTTGTTACCAGGAAGGCATATCGAAAGGGGAACACTATCGATGAAGCGCATCTACAACTTTAATGAATAGATCGGGTTCGCGTTTCTTTTGTTTCTTCTCCGTGCCTGTCGGTGTGCGTTTGTTTGTTCTTGCGCATGTTGTGGGTGTGCGTCTTCCCTTGGTATTTGCATACGTACGAATATAGTGCATGCTCGACTCCATGTTTAGATATGCACAGAAAGGGCAGAGAAGGATACCTTTTTCATTTGTAGCCCGGTTCTACCTTCCTGCCAATCAACTGTGAGCTAGACACAGACAAAACGGGGAGGAGGTCTACAGATACATACAATAGAGTGAGGGGGAAGGAAAAGTAGATGTGCAGATTCTGGTAATAATACTGTAGACTATAAAATATATGATACCTACGACCTCTACCACCCGTCCGTGCGATATCGCCACGCGAGCCCAAGATCTCTAATATTTTGTCGACCGTTCCACAACGTTTCTGCATGGGAGAGGTGGAAAGCACCGGTACAGCCTTGTTGTAGTCCAAGGCGTCTGCGCGCTTGGGTATTGCCGTTGGGAGGGGGCAAGGGAAACGTAAATTGGAATATGCGGTGCCTTTCGTTGCGAGAACGACCCCGACAAGTGGCCGAACCCACCCTGTCTCGCCCTGACAAGAGAAGCGGCCGCTATAACACTTAGTGAAAATTGATACCTGGCATTTTGAAACCTACGGGACTCGCCCGCATCATGTCAACCATTCATGTCCAGCCGACCGGGGGTCCTGCTAAAAAAATGTGTGATGGATGGATAGGCATGATAATCCTGTATTCTGCTGTAGTTGGAGTCCTTTCGACGTGTGTTGCTGTTTGCCCGGCACCTACTGCTGTACAGTTGCTGCAGACGTTAAGTTACGGTAGTACTGTTGTGTGGAGATCGCTTGTTCGTGATTGCTTCTTGGGCAAGGCGGCTGATGAAATTGAAACGGACAGACAATAATTCACATGACGACTGCCCCCGCAAGAGGAACGCTTCTGCAGCACATGGAGCTCCACGCGGGGCTCCGCGGATACGACAGAATAGTTTTTAGGGGTGTGTGGCCACGCCGTGTCGCCCTGGTTCCGCCGCATCCACGGCAACCTCCATGCTCACGTGCCTTGTCCCACCTCCCTCTCCTTACGACTGATCGAGAACAAGCATGGTGATCACAACCCGATGTTCAGGTGGCGTATTTCACATGTTTCCCTCTGTCGGATCCGTCAGTGCTTTAGGTGTAAAGCTCGTTGCGTGTGTATGATACGGACCGCGGAGATGGTTTGACCGCCTCGAGCCCCCACGTGTGCTTGCATGCATGTGTGCCGGTTCAACCAACGCCTTGTGGGCAATGCCACGGTCTCCTTTGATTGATCAGCCCCCCAGGACGCACAGTACTGCAGCCGATTTGTGCCTATTTCGCGTCCTCTGAGAGCATACGGGGGAGGTCAATTGTCGTTGAGAACAAGGCCAACACGTGTCAACCGGCCAAACTTTGTACATCGAGAGGTGTGCAAGTACAGGCTACCGCAGCACCGTACGCCCGCCGGCTGCCACGACAGCGACAACAGCAACACCTACCGCCACAGCAACGGCCGGCTCAGTGTCTGCTAGAGGGGGGATGTCGGTGCCTCGTGCTGTGCCTTCTTTTTGAATCCAAGGTTGTTTTTGGCGTGAATTGGCCCTTTCGAACCTGGCCCCACGGCCGCAGGTCTGTTGTGCAACATGTTGCTGTTGCTGTTGCTTCCCGTTCCCAGCGACGAAGGGGTTACCTCGTCAACGTCGCGCTGATCATGCAATGGCAATGGTGTAATGGAGGGGCGCTCAACTACACGGGTTGGGGTGCCCGCAAGAGTGTGTTGGGCCAGTATGGTGCACAGCAACTCGAACAAGTAGCGGTTAAGACGTGCTCGACAGCAGTTTACAGCAATTGCTTCGACAAATGACCAAGTTGCAGTGTATGCGGACGACCGGCCTTCGCGCTGCTTACACGCACTCGTGGGTACCTCTATCCCTTGTGCCGCAAGCGTCGAGATGACCAAACTCTTGGCCTGTGCTCAACACAGCCACTCGCACGTCAGACAAGCACACTAGAGAGTCACATAATAGCGAAGAAATTGGTCCCGCATATGCTACCCGGCCTTTGTCTTGCGGCTATTTAGCGCTACCGGTTTTGGCTCCGCTTGCAGCATTTCGTTTTTATCGGTTGAAAGAAGTCACAACAACGTCAGCAGTTTTCGCCACATTCAATTGCGGGGCCATTAGCAGTGTCGATGAACAGCAACAAAAACGCCCACACACGGCAGGTCTGGCAATTCTTGTGTTGCTATCGCTCCTGGGCGATGGTGAGGCTCTTTTCGGGCGAGGGAAGGGTGGAGGCGGAGCGGCGACAGCCGCGAAAAAAACATCAAGAGGGACAAAAGGCTCTCCAGCACGGACGAAGCTGGACCCTGACATGATGGAGACAGCGGCGATGCAGGTCAGATCCAAATTTCATCTGTCAAGAGCTGTATTGGGCTCATCATGTTCCGTTGAGACTTTTTTGTCTCATTCGGTCGCCTTTTCGTTGAAGATTCTTACAGTAGTACTCTCGTTTTCTCTCGTGTTGTAGAGTATCTACCTGGTCCTAAGCGTCGGTCCTCTCTAGTAGGTCGTGAGGCCGCCCGGCCAGACATGATCGTGCCTTCATTTTGGTGTGCCGGCCTCTACAGAGGTAAAGAGGCGCACATGGGTACCAGTCGGCGCCTTCGTCGACCAAGCAACACACCAAATACTCCACAGCGGTAGCGGAAAATGGTGACGATTGCTGTGAATTCACTTTTGTTGCTGCGCACAAATGTTGGTTTCTTGCCCTGGTGAACCCGTCTTCGATCTTGCGAGTGAGGGCCATCACATCACCGACGAGCGAGCGACGTTGGCTGAGCCTCAACTTTCATCTTCGGACGGTATAAGTATACCAACAAGTGTTTCTCTGCGTACCAGGAGTGTGCTCATCAGAGAAAGAACAGAGTCATCAAGGGGTAACGCAAGATGGCGGGCAGCAGGACCAGCCCAGCTCACTGCAACCTGCCAGTTGTGATATTTCCCGAGATCGACAGCCCGCGCGACTGACGTGTGTTGGCCCGAAGAACCCAGCGAACCGAAAGAAAGCTTTGCAAGTCTGCATGCGAGTGTGTGGCGCGTCTTTTCGATCGTAGCCACGCAAACCTTATAGGTTTGCTCGCCCCAAAGCAGCTCTCCTGGCGTTTCTGTGCTTCCTCCCCCTTGCGTGAGCAAGCGAGGAATCGTTCCCGGTACAATCTTAGTACCCACGAGCGACTTCGGAATAATTCCCGATGCGCTGCTTTTACCTTTGTTGCTAGTTTTCCCCCAACTTGCAGCAACGAATGAGGGTCCGAGTGGTGCGCCGACAGGGACGGGGATGCGTGCATGGTTTGTGAACTTGTTGGCACAGCGTGCGTTTGCGTCGCTACTGCTATACCGTCTCATGCTTCCTGCATCTTGTTGGCCAAAGGCTCCCCGGCAAAGCTGTTCCATCACACGAAACGCCATTTCTTCTTTATTCTGTTGCTTCCCGCGCTTCAATACCGTCAAGAATGTGATCGGCGACGGCTAATGTGGCCATGAACGATAAGCCCACCGTACGTTTCATCTCCGTGACGACTCCTTGAGGAGGGGCTTGTTTCCCCCCGCTGGGCGAACATTCTGCAATGTTGTTTTCTTCCCGACGTTTTTGGGTTACTAGCCCCTCCTCAAGCCGGCATCGTTTTTTTTTGTTTTTAACCGTCTGTTCAGGCCTCGGAGCGCCTTCTGATGTGGGGAACTACGACCATCTTCCAGCTCAAGGAGGCCGCCCGTATGAAGGGACACGTGGAGCGGTTGCAGGCGTCCTCGCAACAAGTGGACCAGAACGGTCGGGCGATGGTGAAGATGGACCCGCCCATGTACAAGGCCGTGGTGGGGAGCAGCTTGGGGAACGTTTTTCTCATGCTCAACTCCCCGAACTTCGGCAAGCTGTCGGAGAAGGCGAAATCGTGAGTCCCTGTTGGTGTGCGTTGATGCTTTTCAGCGTTGTATTGAGCCGAGGCTGTGTCAGGTATAGAGCACCACGCGCTCTGCGCGTACTATGGTCTGTGGAGAGAAACGAGATCACGCCCGTTGCGGGAGATTTTGAAGCTGTCTCTGCTGGTCGGCTTGTCTTTGGTGTTCAGGTTGAGATAAGGAAGGCGCCCCAGATAGCTGTTAAAGCCCCGGGCCTTCTGATTTTTTCAGAGCGCACTCTTCATTGCTAGGCGATCCCACTCGGCATGCCTCTGTGTTTCTCCCTTTGCTTCGATGCATTGTGGGGCGACATCACCTATATTAAGGCATCTTGAATCTCACGTATGCATTATTTGCGCGTTCTTCAGAGGATTAAAGAAACAACACATGGCTCACTGCACACACCCACATCCTCTTTTATATAATGAGTGGTACTTCGAAGAATGTATTTTTGCGGTTTGTTGTCTCACTGTCTGCCACTTGGTTTGTCGTGGGTGGACATTACGGGTTTGTCCTAGAACCAGTAACACACCGCGAGGAGGGAGCTGCTTTGTTCACCTCGTGTAGTAGTGCCGCGCGCTCGCAAGCATGCCTACGGGAACGCTTGGGGTCGCCTGATTACAGAGATACCCCGGCACCTTAACCTAGACAGTGTGGCGACGCCGCTTAGCTCGCCTGCGGCGGCGCACGCACGAGGCGTTGACAAAGCACGGCAAAGTGCTTTCGTTGTTGGCACGCCCTCCGGCTATCCCGATCCACGGTGCCGCGTCCCCCGTGGACGATTAGCAAAAGGTCACTGCTCTACTCGTTGGCGGTTGGCGGAGTTTGAAAGTGACCGTGGTGATGTGTTTTCTGCGCTAGCCAGTGAGTTAGTGCCAACGGCAGGACCCTGCGAAGCTGTGTGTTTCCACTTTGCAATCAAGCCCCGCGTCCCGCTCCCAATACATGCGGTACGGGCCCGCGAATAAGAATCGCCAAAACCGGGTCGAGGCTCGTCTCTTTTTTTCATTATCACTGTCACACACACACGCACACTGTCGAGCAAAGGTTGTTGTTTAAGGTAGAGTTTAGAGTAGCATTAACCGCTGAGCTTCGGTTCTTCGACTTTTTTTTGTTCTCCTGTAAATTTAAGTCTCTGCTTCTTAACGGAATATCTCTTGACTGCGGGCCCGTACTCTGCATCATCGCTCGTGGGAAATTCCTTGGTTCGCTATCAACAGGATGCTGAAAGACGAGGGAAGACAGATGCGGTTGATCGACATGGATCAGAGGACGAAGGAGTCGTTCGCCGCTCAGAAGGGCCAGCCCACGGGAGTCAAGGGCCCCGAGGGCTACTTGGAGGGCGCCCTGCTCAACAAGGAGGTGGCAGCGGCTCACGAAAAGTTCTTGGCGGACGTTGAGGTAAGTGGCCGGAGTGCTGGCGACGGTCTTTGTGTGCGGCGTCCGTTTAGGCTACGCTTCTGCTACTGCCTTCGAGAAGGCGAATCACCGCTCTGACTGTAGTTTACTGGAGGCTTGGTGCCAATTACTGGTTCGAATGTTTTGGCCGCATCCTTTCGATCAAGTACCGTTGCGTGTACGCCCTTTCGCCGGATACAATGCGTGGCGCACGGTATCGTGCGCAACCTCTCATCGTCCCCTACTTGCGTCTTTACTAACCATGCTTTGTGTCTATTTATCATGCGTTCCGTGGGAAAATTGCACGTGTACCCCTCTGCTGGATGTCTTGTGTGCCAGCATGGATTTCCCTACCTTTACGCGTTCTCTCTTGGAACTGTTTTTCTTCCCTGATGCTCACTGCAGGCGTTGTCGAGCTCGGCGGTGGGCAAGAAGGCTGCCGCGAGCGCCGAGGCATACCACCAAGCCATGCTAGCGTACACCACCAGCGAGGACTACAGGAGCAGCCTCAAATCTTCTCGATCAAAGAAGAAGTAAATAGTTGCGGTACTTTTTTTTGTCGAAGGCGTGCACTCATATGCGTTGCCTCGCGGGGAGATCTTGGATTGTCTGGCGGGATTGCCATCGCGGGCACATAGCAGCTTGGTTTTCTGTGCCGATTTACGTAGTGCCCGTTCTTTTCCCCTAGAAACACAGGGTGGTCGGCACAAGAGCAGGTAGCTTAGTCAGGTGTTAGGAATGGCGTGTCCGAAACGGCGTGTGTGTGTGTTTTCACGCTCCTTGCCGTCGGTTGTTCGGGAACAGGCCGTTGCCGTCTACGCAGGCTATCGCGGTGAGGGTTCCCTGATAGTCGGGGGTACATAGCTGCTTGCGCTCTTTTGGTAGTGAGTGCGCGCTGATTTTTAAGCTGTTGACGGAAAAAAACAACAAATGTCTGCATCCGAAAGGTAAGGCCCCAAGACGGTTCCTGGTCGTAGGTTGCACCGTCGTCGTTTCGCTACACGATAACCGTTGTCAGCATTCATGTTTCGAGAGTGCGAGACAGGTTTGCCCATGGACGTACAAGTCTTGCTTGATTTCCTTGTACCATAGCTTTCCGTGCGGAGAAAGGAGTAGACTAGTCCTTCACTATTGGTACGTGTACACAGTGAGTGTCATCACTGCTAGCGCAGGGCAGGTGTCACTTTCTTGCCCGCGAGATTTTGAAGTTGAGGAGTCACGTAGGGGTGTCGCGGTAAATGCCTAGACTGTTCAATGAACGAGTACAAGACACGTCGCCAATCGATGGATACCGTAAGTTGTTCCTACGTCGCGACCTTTATTGCGATTCATTCCTGGGGCGGCGCCATTCCGGGATACGCACATGCGGTGGATTGTCCAAAAGTTGTTTTCGAACCAGGTTTTCCAACGTGTTTGTCGCCATCCCTCTGCGGCATATTTTCTGCGAACAGAGAAAAAAGCAAAGTGCTTGGCATGATGCTCGGGGGCATAATGCATGCCTGAATGCTGCTTTCCAATAGTAGGCCAAACATACATGCCGAACGTCCAAACCTGAGTGAATTGACAGACAGAGAGCGTGCCAGCCTGTCGGCAGCAAGACAACTTTTCCTACACGGAAGAGGTCCATACAGTTTCGAGCTCTGGTGACGTCACTACCAGTGATGACCGATAGAAATGTGTAAATAACCATCATGCAGATCCCGCGGCAAAACTACTGTTCAAACGTGTTTCCTGTTGAAAAGGGGAAGACGAAGTCTCGCCATGTACAACAGCGTTTCGCCTCAGAGACGAATCCTCACTCTTTCAATACACAGCAGTACCACACAATGTCCGTTGCGCTCCACAAGAGACACCCAGCCTAGGTCTCTCTCATGTCGGCCCTGCCTCCTTTGTTTTCTGTTTCATACTTCTCGTCTTGCAACCCAACCTGCCGTGTAGACTATCATACTCTCGCGTCAGAAGTTGTGTGACAAATATTGCAACACAAACCCACCCACCCCCACCCACAGGCGAAAACCCGTACAAACACAGGTAGAGAATGAATGCGATGGAGGTAGACCCGTGGCAAGGTACCACCCGGTGCCCGTTCTGCCGGACAATCGACAACCGAAGGCGCCTCCTAACACGGCCTGCAAGTGAGAGATGAAGGCCATTTTTTACAAAGTGACATATCGTCACCCATCCTGCACTCCTCTACCGACAACTTGATACAGCACGTCCCGTGATACCTTTGTGGTACTTGTCTCATCATTGTGCTCACCTTGTCAAGGCCAGCGAACTGCACACACACATGTCCGATAAGGCCATGGATTCATTGCGAAGCTACATCTGTCTCTCGGTGTCACATCTAGAATCGGTGGAAAGTGATGAATTCGCCGCTCGAATTTTATCTCGCACTCGCGTGTTCGCAAGTAGCGAGATGTCGGCCTTGGTCAGCCGAAAACCTCATCTATCCTCAACCAGCCTGCATGCATGTACGGGCAATTTAATATACCAAGTCCGCGACCCCGCGCGGACGCTTAGCTTCACGAGGACGGGGCAAGCGGTGAGCACTTGGCTACAGTAGCCATCAGATCATGTCGTCGACGAACGAGCTCAAGGTCGGCGCCGTCGAAAGTCCACGTCTTCAAGCGGGGTTTCCTCCCAGTTGTCCTTCCCGTCTGCATGTGGGGAGAGAGGAAGCGCATGATATCGGGGTTCGCATATTCCGATTGGGGGATGGTGAGGATGGGGGAGGTGGCGACGAGACCTGACGTGCAGAATGTTGGGCGAGAAATGTGGCCAACCTGCGCAACAACAAAGCATCACAGTGTGTGGACAAAGCCATGGGAGGTGACGTAGGCCGTGGAATGTCGAAGTGAATTAGACTAGACTAATATGTGTGGAACCACACAATGTACACTCAAAGTGTTCGAATTCCGTCTTACCGCAAAAATTTCATTCTGTCGAAACCTGTGTCATCGTTGAACGGCACCCATGTCGCTCATTGTTCAATCCCGACATCTCGACACACGCACACACGATCTTTCCATCAACCCGGAACATGCACGGCATGTCAAAAAGCTCTCCCGCGACACGCTGATCTACAACGTCCGAGAGTCGAGCTGGCCCATGCCGCGCACCATCGGCCTGGGAGACCCGCAGCGAGAGCGGCCATGCTCGAGCTCCATATGCTTTTCATTCTGGTGTTCTCAAGCTCATCAACGCAAGAGGCGGTAAAAGGGAAGCTTCCTCGTTGCGCCCACAACCGACTCCACACAGGAAGATGAACGAGACAGGCGCCATGAAGCGTCGCGACGTACGCACTGAGAGCACCATTTTTTCACCACGTCGCCGTGCACATACGTTGCTGCAGTAGTTGTTACCGTGTTTCCGAGGGGTGGGGGCGGGTACTCTTCGTACAGAGGAGGGGGTGGAAGAAAGGCAACTACAAAATCGTCGGCGAATCCGTATTGTACGTGCATGCGTATTCCACAGGAAGTTGGTGTGTACCAGATTCTACGCACATGAGCCGGGGACATATTGAATCATTATGTGATTTCAGATTAAAGTCGTCTCTTAAGTATTGGAACGCTATGAGTGAAACCCCTACAATCGCTAGTGAACCTATTTGTACTCGAAAAAAACTCCAGCATTTTTCCTCCAAGAAACAAACCGAAAAACTAAATGTGAATGAATGAATGTATGAATGAATGAATGAATGGAGAATGAATGGATGAATGGTATTTTCATTCGCAAGACCCGAACCACGCCTTTCTTGTGCTGAACACCGAAGGCGCGAGAAGTCACACCATCGGCCGTTCTGCACTAATTTCGACGCCGTCAACAAGCTGGGGCTCGGGTGGTGCCTGACACGTTTATGTTTGCCGGTGCCGGGGATCGATCGTCTCAAGCACGAAACAACGAGCACGAAGGCGGTACACCAACTTGCTCCGATTTCGACATATTTGGGCGACAAATTCACCTGGTATTCCATGAAATTGGAATCCAATCCGAGCAGAATGAATAACCCCAAGCGGCTCTATGTAGATAAGAGTAACGTTGAATACGTTGTACTCTCAAGCCTCGTTGTCACGCCCCGTCCTTTCTTTACTGCATGCATTACAATCTCCTGCGATACTGGACAAGAATAACATCTGCGTAGTTTGTAAGTGAGTTGCTGCTCATCCCCACAAACACAATACTGTAGAGATTAAACGTCAGTTTCCCGCTCACCTCGACATACTCCCGTGCCTCAGCCCTCCTGCCTCTCGCCCCCCTTGACTCGGACCTTGCGTCAGACAGTTCGTGACTACCGCCATGGTGAAGTCAAAGCCAACCACATCATCGTCTTCTGATGCAGTTCTCTCCTCCTTGTGTGCACATCTGATGTTGTGCGTCAGGTAGCGGGAGGTTCGTACGATCTTCTTGTTCACCCGTGGGCAGATACTGAGAACGCGGTAACCGATTCTGGTGCTGGCGCGCTAAGTTCTGCACTGAGAACCAAGAGTGCGTTACTTTCATTCTAGCTGCACCGCCCTAGGCTGGGGCAAGCGAAACTGACGGCTTTGTGGGCGACTCCAACTACACGTTCGCGGTTTCACTCGGTAGTGAAGTATCCACATCGGAGTTGTTCGTCACCTCTGAGGATGGGTGGTTAGTGGTGCGGCTTGCCAGGATTATTCCATGGTGCCACTCGGTGCCCTAGACACACGGCGAGAGTTTGAGCACAAGATTGAGTTGCATGTATTCTGTGTCACTGGCTTCATCTATACCCTAGACTAGAGCTGGAACAAAACAAGTCTAATCATTGTTGGTAGACTGTTGGGTTTAAAGAACACCATTCGAGCAAGTACCTCTTCCTCGGATTGGACACCATGAAACAGGTGGTGATAAACTCTGGGATATATATTTAGTAGTTCATGATGACGAGCGTTAAGTGACATGGTAAAGATTGAAGTTGTGTTTGTTTACGGAGGACCCTTGGAGAATCTACAATGCAGAAAATGCGAGAGATATTCTCAAACCGTTATTGTAACTTCGCCGAGATTTACGTCCGACGCAAGGTTTTGAAGTAAACCAACGGGGCGACCAGTGTGGTTGCACACAGATACGGCCAATCAAGTTCAGCATTGAGCACCAGAAAGAAAATACACGATTGGAGCCGCACGCGGGGCACTCCGACAGCGTGTAGTTTCGGTTCCCGTTCACTTGACTGATGCACACAGCTTTACTATATACCCAATACCAGGAACAAACACGAATGAAAAAATGACAACGATTTTGTTGAGGAATGGGCTGTGCTACTGTCGATTGGGAATGACTAGTGGTTCGAAAGGGATGGTGCGAGAGAACACTATAGTATCAGATCGCCTCATTGGCGCGGGCGGACACCATGCTTTCTCGCAACGTTCCGGAGAACGAACGCTATGCTTGGGTTCCAGATACTCTTCCTCACAGAAAACAATCTGCCGCAAACATACCGAGCGGTTGTTCGGTGGGAAGTGCATCATTGACGTGGATATTACTGTGACACTCCCCGGCAGAATCTTCAATATCTTTACACCATCCGTCAACCGATGACCCCTGTAAGGCCAAGCTGCCCAAACCATGATACGGGCGAATATTCCCCTCTTGTTGTTGTAGCAAAAACAACCGTTCCGGTGTTTGCTCAGCTTACCTTCAAACATCCTTACCGGTTGACTGACGCGGACTTTCCGTGCTAACAGGCCAACTTCCCCAAAAAGGTACCGAGTGCATCACTTCTACAGAAAACCAAAGGAAAATACACCACAGACACGATCGTGAAGCAACCGGCCAGAACCGTGGTCAGATGTCCCTGGTGACACTTATGGGAAATAAGGGGATGGACAGAAGAATACCAAGTTTACAGTCGAGCCCATCGCTCTCGGTCGGCAAGCGATGCCAAAATGTGAGACACGCAAAAAAATCAACGCTCCCCACTCAAGACAGCCAAGTTGATTCTACCCTTGTACCCCTAATAGGCCGGGATGTCCTTGCCGCCGTGGTACACAGGTCAACCACATATCTACCCACAAACTGCACGGTGGGGGGGTTACGATCCCGACAACGGTGATACCTGCATGCCCCAACTCCCAATGGACACGCTAATATGGCTTTCTTCCTCTTCCCATTCCTTGTGCTGCCGTGCCGGCATACTCCATGATAGCTTCTCACCGGCCAGGCTCATGCCCGTCGTACGCAGACACGCATGAAAGTAGAGGTCGAAAAACTTAACCAACCACAACCGAAAGAAGAAACAACAATATCACATCGGGAAGGG